CTTCATTTCCCAGTGACAGCCTCCGGCAGCTCCTGCTGTTGTGCGTGGGGCCAGGCCCCTTCACCATCAGGGGACCTTCCCTGGCCTCCTGCTGCCTCCGGGCTGATCTCAACTGTCCCTTTGGGCATCACCTCAGGGACACCTCACGGGATCACAGACATAGTTCACTTTGTTTGGGGTTTCCCCTGAAAGCCTCTTCTGGGAGAAGGACTTAGATGAGAGATGCTATATTTGAGAGTGGGTACCTGGAATCAGTAGTGAGGGCGTCAAGATAGGGAGACACAGAAGAAGAAACCCCCAGATAAAGGGGTTTTGTTGAGGTCTCCGCCGTAAGCATGGGAAGCCCCAATGGCACCTCTTAGAGGCCTCAGCGTCCCCAGCAGGACTGGTCACTCTCTGGGGAAGGCAGAGACTCTCCATCTCCAATCTCCCAGGATGCTTCCGGGAAGGCTGAGCACCGCCCCCTCACCCCCAGGGCCATGTATCTCCTGCAAGCTTCAGGCTGCACCGGTGCCTGCAGGAGGCCGGGCAAATGTGCTACAGCAGAAAGCAGGAAGATGCGGGCCTGGAGGGAAGCCTTTGTCCCCTTGCCGGTGGCTCCCCCATCCTCCAGTCCAGCAGGAAAAGCTTCTGACCAGCCTCTCTCACCATCGCAGGTTCCAGGGGAGCCGACTCCCCCTGGGTGCCTGCCACGCGAGCAGCCCCGACTCTCTGTTCAGACATCAGTCCCAGGAGGCTTTTCAAAACAAGTCCATGGAAAACAACTTCGTGGAAAATTAAAGGAGAGTAATAAAACTCTTAACTGAGATACAGAGGGTTGCATGGGAGGCATGTTGGCAGGGGAGTTAAGGGATGTGCAAGATCTGGGTATATACTTATAGTATCGGGTTGTGGGACCCAGTTAGAAATTGTCATGAAATTACAAAGAAAGGAATGAGTGGTCCAATATTTGATGTGGGGGGAACATGAGGAAAGTAAATCTCTTGTTATAGTGGAAAACACAGGGAAAAAAATTGCAGGAGTGTGGGAGGCTGGCAGGGATGGGGGAATGGGGAAAACGTGCTGGCTGGAGCACCTGCCTTTATCTGGCTCTGCCTGCGTCTTCTCCGTGAGTCCCATAGCTTCCTGGCCCCTAGGTTAGGCTGGAGGGTTCAGCTAGGCTGCCCTTCTCACCTGGGCAGCCTAAGACCTCTTCTCTGAAGAAGGATGCTGGCCTGCAACATCCCAAAGCAGGAACTTCTCCAAGCGAGGGACCGACCAGGCCTGCTGCTGAATGCAACGAGCATCTGGGTTAATCAAAGCCACAAAATATTTATAATGTTTTTCCCCGGACAGAGGAGCTGGGTGATTTCGCATCTCTTCATGGTACGATGCCCCAGTTTCTAGTTCTCTGTAAAGCAGTTACTCTTTCTGGGAAATCCTGGCCTGCCTTGTGCTCAGGGGTACAACCCAGAAATATGGTGACTGAGAGTCAGATGCTTCACGTTTTACAGGGAAAAAAGAAACTCTCAGAGGTGGAAAATGTCACATCTTCCATTCACACATCATCAGACATGTTGGGGGTGCGGGTGGGGTCCAGGAAAAGACAGCTTCCAGAAACAAAAACAGACAGTCCTGACACCAAAAAGAGAAAGAATGACTTCCCTTTTCCTACCCTGAGATGGAGCTAAGGCACTCTGAGACGTGACCATGCTGGGTCCGCCAGGAGGAAGACCGCTTCGATCCGGGATGTCTAGGGGGCAAACCACTGGCAGGCCCCGGCTCTCCAGGGCTGAGGGTGCCCCCGACGTGTTCCCGGGGCACTGAGGAGTGAGGAAAGGCACCACTGCATGGTTGCTGGGTCCCCAGTCTTCTCACAAGAGAAGCCTGGAAGGACGTTGTCTCATCCATGCAGGGCTGAACTGGATACTGAAATGGACACAGAGAAACTGGGATGAAAGCAGGCTACTGTCCTTAAAATGCCAAAAGATGTGGCTCGCACAGAGCCCTTTGTCAAGCAACAAACACATCAGAGGGACTGGAGGGGGTGGCCGACATGTGCCCAGTGGGGTGGACAGGCAGATGGAGGCCTGGGCCCCCAGGGAAGTGTTTCTTCAACACAGATGGGTTCTGGCGTTGGCCCCCTCTGTGATAACAGCCACTTCCTCTGCCATCTGCATGGTGGTTCTAGAAGTCTGGGCAGGAGCTTTTAGGGGGCAGGAATCTGATTGGGGGGAGTGATATTGTGGGAACTTGAGTTATAGTCATAGGGCAAAAATTCCATTTAAAAATTTTATTTTATTTTATGTTGAAGGGTTTCCCAGGTGGTGCTAATGGTAAAGCTAATGCTAATGGTAAAGAACTCGCTTGCCAGCGCAGGAGACTCAAGAGACACAGGTTTGATCCCTAGGTCTGGAAGATGCCGTTGAGTAGGAAATGGCAACCCACTCCAGTATTTTTGCCTGGGAAATCCCGTTGGCAGGGGAGCTTGGCGGGCTACAGTCCGTGGGGCCTGCAGAGAGTCAGACACGACTGAGCGGCTAACACAGCAAGCGGATTGAGTTGGGTTAGTTCCAGGTGTACATGAAAGTGATACAGTTCTACATATACATGGATCTATTCTTTTTCAAATTCTTTCTCCACATAATTATGACAGAAAACTTAGCGGGGCTCCCTGTGCTACTCAGGCGGTCCTTGCGATCCATCTTAAATACAGCAGTGGCAAACACCAGAAACATGTTTTATTTGGGATCCGGGGGGGATGGGTGGAAGAAAGCCCTCCCCCCACCCCCTCCCCCCCTGTAAACCACTTCCCAGAAGACCCACGGCTGAGGAACCCAGAGAACAGAGGTTCTGCCAACCGCCGCCCCCCACCCCATGCCCGTCCCCCGCTTCCAGGTGGGAGACACTCCACCGCCAGGATCCTGCCAGCCCTCCATTCTTCCCATTTGAAGGATCATTATTATTGGATTGATTGCCTCCTTTATTCATTCAGTAAATATTTTATTAGATCTCATGCTTAAGGGAGCAGAGGAGAGAAAGGAGTTTGCATCCGGCAGCTGCCCTAAAGGACTTCCAGCATTTTACCCCCATGTGTCCTGAACTATCAGGCCCTAAACACAACTTTTAAAAAAAATCTAAGTGCTTTTAAAGACTTCTTTGAAATGTGGGACAATTACGCAAGCAGGAAAAAAAGGTATCTAGAGCAAATATTTAACTTTGCCTTAGGTAAGTTGAAGTCACTGGCCCGTGCAGACCTCTCAGGCATGTCCTATAAAATTGACTTAAATATATATACACACATATACACACGCGTCTATTCTTCACGGGGAGGCGGGGACTGAGGTTCTGTACAGGGCACGGCTTGCTGAAGTCACAGCCCGGACTCTGGTGTTTGCCAGCCACACACCGCCCTCCCCCCGGACACGCACGCTTTGGCGGCCGGAAATGCTTTCTCTTGGCAGAATTCTGGCAATCTCAGGACCCAGAAACCTCCCTGGCGTCCTCAGAGACAGGTGGAGTGACCAGTGAATCATCAGGGTCTTGAGAAAAGTTACAAGCCTACGGCTCTGAGCCCCAGATTGGGAGGAGTAAAGCCAGCTTCCCAGCTCGGAGTGGGGGGTGGGGGGGGGGCAGGGGCTTAGGACACCCGCCTTGGGGTTATGGCAAACCTAGCGCTGCCGGGGTCCTGGATAATAACAGAATTCCCCGGAGGGTGCCTCCTCTGAGCCGCGGGCTTTAATTCCCCCACCCGGGATGGCTGGGAGGGCCGCGGGCCGAGACGCGGGTCAGCCCGCCCGGAACGGAGGCGCCCATCCAGGCGGACGGCGGCGCGCTGCCCAGGCACAAAGTTTGCATCTGCCCCGCAAACCCTCGGGGGTGCGGGCAGCTCTGCATTTCCGAGCCCTGCAAACAGAAAACGCTCCTGGGCCGGAGCCGGCCGCGCAGAAGGAACCGGGCTTTACAAAATCCAGGGACGTTCAGGTCCGCTGGGTTTCACCGGTTGGGGGGGCGGCGAGCCACGCAGCCCGGGGCGGGGCGGGGCGGTGGGCGGAGGCGGCCCCGGGCACCCGCCGGCCCCCGGTTGCTACAACAGACCCCGCACGCCGCGGCCGAGTCGCCACCGCGGGCTGCAGCTGGACAGGGCCAGGCGGGGAGGGGTCGACTGACCTCGGCGGGGCGGGAGGAGACCCCGGGCGAGGGGCGCATGTGAGTCCCGGGCTGCGCGCGTCCTTTGGCGCCAAGGGGACCCCTCCCCCACCCTCGCTGGCCCCGACCGCTCTTGGCCGGCCGGGGGAGGGGCTGTCCGGCCGCCCCTGCCCGGAGCCCCCAGCCCGGCTGCCGCGCGGGGCGGAGCCGCGGCGTCCCCCCGCCCCCCAACCCGAACACCTGAGCGGCGGCGGCGGCGGCTCCCGCGCTCGGGCCAGCCGAGGCTCGGCGTAGCTCCGGAGCCCGCGGCCGAGCCCGGAGAGCGCGGACGCCCGCCCTTCCCTGGGGGCTCCGACCCGCCCGGACTCCCGGAGCCGCGCCCCGAGCCAGGTGAGGCGGCGGCGGCGGCGGCGGCGGCGGCGGCGGGGGGCGGGGCGGGGGCGTCGCGGGGCGCTGCGGTTGCAGGGTGGGGGTGGCGGGGGCACCGTGTGCGGCCGGGAAGGACAGTGGCTGGCCCCTTGGGAGCCCGGCCGTGCGGATAGCTGCCCTTTGGGTGCTTCTGGCTTCCAGGAGCGCCAACCACTGGGTAAGCGCGGCTCTGGACTCACGGAGGCTGAGGGTGGGGGGTTGAGAAAGGGTCCTTCGAGTCCTGGTGGGACTAACTTCTCTACAGAGACACCCCCACCCAGCCGCCCCCACCGTTTCGTTCGGGACTAGGGGTCGACTTAAACTGCTTTGGAAGAGGCGTGGGGGCAGAGCGCAGGAGCACCCTCTTCGTCCCCTGCGCCCATGAACCCCCTTCACCTCTAGCGCCTCCCCTTGGGGCACCGCAGATGTACCTACCTCCGCCTCTTGCCCGGGGTCTCCTTGCCTTAGGTCGCCGCCCACTGGCGCGGGTACCTGGGCCCGCATGCCTGGCGGTGGAACTGGCACGGGGCCGCCAGAGGGCGCGCGGGGGGCGGGGACCCGTGTCGCGGTCGCAAGGTCCCCGGAGACCCTGCGTCGGCTACCCCGGCCCCGCACCGGCTCCCAGAGCCCCCATCCAGGTGCGCGCGGCTGGAGCAGCGGGCTCGGCGAGGCCGGGGCCGGTGCACCTGGCGCAGGCCCGGGAGTCGTGGATGGACCCCGGGGCCCCTGGGGTCGAGCCGAGCCCCCGCCAGATGCCTGGCCTCTGCCCGCCGCGAGCCCCAGCCGGGTTGGGGGGCCCGACTGAGGCAGGTGAGTGGCCCCCCTTGCTCCGCCGCCCGTGAATTATGCAGGAGGCTGGCACTGGCGCGCTCGAGTTGCTCAAGTTTCCCTGGCAACTTTCGCCCGGGCATCCCTCCCCGGCTGCCGGGCAGCTCCGTCCGCGCAGCGCCGTGGCCCTGGCGCCTCCGCAAGGTGTCCGGAGCGCCGGGGGCGCCTGGAGACCGCGACCGCGCACTCGCCGCCTGAGTTGGGGCCACTGGATTTTGCGAGCAGGTATGATCCTGGTGGAGGGTCTTGCCGCCTCTGATCGGAGGGTGGGGGGCCGAGGTGGACCTGGCCCCAGTGTTCGGAAGGTGCCGGGGACGGGGTGGACCTCGCCGCCGGAATTCGGAGGCTGCTGGACCGCGGTGCGCCTCCTCCCGCGCCTAGGTGCGCCCACACGGCACGGGATGGGAGGGTGGGCGCGTTGGCGAGGTCAGTGTTTCCGTGGGGCTGGGGGCGTCCGAAGGGGGCGAGGCCGCTTCTGGTGACGGTGGGCTTTCAGGCGGAGCTTTTAAAGCGACCCTGGGCGGCTAGATCTGAGAAGTCGCTTGGGCCCCGAGATGGGAGCTCAGTCCGGGGTACCTGGGGGCCCCGGTGGGCGGCAGCTATGGGCACGGTCCCAGGGATCCTCAGAGACCTTCTGAAAATAAAGCGGTTCCCATGTGGAAGTTCGAGGTAGTAAATTGGATAGTTTCGTGACCTCTTTTTGTTTGAAACTCAAGTTCCAAGCTTAATGAGGTCAACCCGCTAATTAAATTAAGCACCAAGAAGCAGGGAGGTAATTTCGGAAGTCGTCCGCGGAGGGATGGCTGCGGCTCGGTCTCTGCCTGGGACTTGCCCTCCGCTCGGCCGACTCGGCCTCAGGGAGAGCCCGTGGGTTCTGCGTCCCGCCTCCATCCCAGTGTCGGTGGCCGCGCTCAGTAATCCTTCCTGACCACCTGTTCCGCTTGGGGGACTTCGGGATGTCCTGAAGAGCCCCGGGAGATGGCTGCTTTTGGAGACCTGAGTTTTCAAACCACTTGTCTGCAATAAAAAGGATGCTATTTGATGAAAAGCCAGAACATCTGTGTGCCTGGAACTTTGTACCCACTGAGGGCTTGACAGTGATTAAATGGGGAAGGTCAACGTGGCTGTTCAGTCACTAAATCGTGTCTGACTCTGTGACCCCGTGGCCTGGAGCACACCAGGCTCCGCTGTCCTCCACTGTCTTCTGGGTGTGTGTGTGTGTGTGTCTAGGGTGTGTGTGTGTGTGTGTGTGTGTGTGTCTGTGAGAGTCGCTTAGTCGTGTCCGACTCTTTGTGACCCCATGGACTATAGCCCGCCAGGGTCCTCTGGACATGGGGATTCTCCAGGCAAGACTCTTTGCGATCCCACAGACTGTTTCTGCCCATGGAATTCTCCAGGCAAGAATACTGGAGTGGATTGCCCTTCCCTTCTCCAGGGGAACTTCCCAACCCAGGATTAGAACCCTGGTCTCCTGCATTGCAGGCAGATTCTTTACCATTTGAGCTACAGGGAACTCTACTATCTTCTGGAGTTTGCTCAAATTCTTCTCCAGTTGAGTCAGTGATGTTATCTAACCACCTCATCCTCGGCCACTGCCTTGCCCTAAGGGGGATTTAGAAGTGGTAGCATGGACCTTTGCCCAGGAAGTCACAGTATCCTTGAGGAGGCCGGAGGACGACCCTGTCTTGATAGGAATTAGGCCACTTTGCAAGTGGCTGGATGTAAAACTCCTGGGGCGCAGGCTTCTCCTGGAAGCCCGTTCCATTATTGTGCAGGGGAATTTCTGCTTTTCCAAGAAGAAAGAATTGACTGGAAAGCTGGTGCTTCTTCGGGCTCCCTTGGAAGAGGCTGTAATTCTTCTGGAATCAAAAGGAGTCCTTGACAAATGAAGTGATTTTACCTATAAAGGTGCTTGCCTGTGGGCGCTGTTGACAGCACTTGGCTGCTCCGAACAAATTAGATCCCTTTGGGGGGTGGGGGAGGGAAGGGAATCTTTCTGCCTCCTGGCTCCCAGCACAGTTGCTTTAGAAAGCCCTATTCATATGCACGTGTGATTCCCGGAGGTTTTCCTTCTTTTGTTTTTCTGAAGTGCTTGGGGGCTGTGGGCGCACCCCGCTTCCTGGCATCTAGGGGTCACTGCGGGCAGGCGATTTGGTCCAAGCCTCTGGGGGACCCCTGTGGAGGAGAGGCCCCGGACTGTGGGGTCAGGTATGAGGCGTGCCACCAGGAGGAGGAGGAAGGCGTTCCAAGATAGCGCCGCACTTTGTATTTCATCAGTGATGGGGAAGAGGAGGGAAGAAGAAGCTTGAAATAAGAAAACGGTGCGGGGAGTTAACCAGTGTGCAGGAAAACAGTAGTCACACTGACTTCAATGGAAAAATGATTCTTTATCTTACGCCCTCTATTTCCAGATGGCAGAGTCCTGGCGTCTTTGTCACCTCGGGTGAGTGCAGGAGGCTTTTCCAAAGTGGGGCTCAGCTTGGGAGGTGCTGAGGGAGTTGTGGGGTGCCTTTGGCATGGACCCCAGCCCCTGGTTGCTGGGCTCCGCTCCCCAGGTTTCCAGCTCCTGCCTGGTAAGCCCAAGGCCAGCTTGGCGACAGGCTCTCAGACCTGGAGTCAGTCGTTGCTCCTTGCGTCGGGGATGGGCGGAGTGTGTGGCTAGGAAAGCCTGGAGAAAAGTATCAGCACAGCCTCCCTGCGCTTCACACTGTCCTGAGCCCCAGGGAGGGAACATTTAGGATCTTCCAAGTCACCCCCGGGGCCAGTTTATTGAATCCTCTGCTTTGTGGGAAGGACTAGATTGAGGAGGAAAACACCCCAAACAAAGGTCCGATGTTTTCGTCTTGGAAGCCCCCTCGCCCTCACCTGGTACTGTCTGGGTGAAGGGCTCAGAGCCAGGCCAGGGGACCCTTGTGACCTGGCCTTGACCCGCCCACCCGAATAAGGGGCTGGGCATTCATTCAGAGGCGGTCTAGGTTATACTGCATTTTCTCTGTGTCTTGCAAACATGAGCCCATCAAATAGTCATCTGGGGGCCTGGAGCTGGGCTCAGGGGGCCTGCTCCAGAGGTTCCAGGCTGGAGGGGAGAAAGGAGGGGTCAGACAGTTAGTGCTGGCGGCACAGGAGTCGTGATGGAGGTGACCGTAGTGTGCTCTAGGGCACAGAAAGTGTCCCCAGCCCAGTCTGGGAAAGGAAGGCGAGGGGTATCCAAGAACACCTGGACGAGGCCCGGGGTGTCAGATCATGTCGCTGTGATGCCCTGGGACCTGGCAGGAATGTTCTGGTTCTTATTCTGGCCGCTTCTCCCCTTCTGCCCACCTTGCTGTAGGTGGCCTCATCCAAGTTTCCTGAAACTCCAGGAAGAGAAGGACTTCCCTGGTGGCCCAGTGGATAAGACTCCACTCTGTGCTGAAGGGATGCAGGTTCAGTCCCTGGTTGGGGAGATAAGATGCCGCATGCCTCGGGGCCACATATCTGGAACATAGAGTAGAAACAATATTGTTGTTATTGTCGTCAGTCATTAAGTCTTGTCCCACCCCAGGGACTGCAGCACACCAGGCCTCTCTGTCCTGCACTGCCTCCCAGAGTTTGCTCAAACTCACATCCATTGAGTCGGTGAAGCCATCCAACTATCTCATCCTCTGTCATCCCCTTCTCCTCCTGCCCTCAGTCTTGCCCAGCATCAGGATCTTTTCCAATCTTCCCATCCGGTGGCCTAAGTATTAGAATTTCAGCTTCAGCATTGTAACCAATTCAACAAAGTTTTTTAAAAATGGTCCACATCAAACAAACAAACAAACAAAAAAAACCCTCCATAAATAGATTGGTGCAATTGGTTATTCCCATTTTACAGATCAGGAGCCTGAAGCCCAGAGGAGTGAAGCCACTTGCCTCAGACCACCCGGCAAGGGAACATGGGAGCTGGGGTTGCACCAGGCAGCCTGGAAGAGCCCAGCCCTAAGCCCCCACACTGCACACTTCACCCAGAGGGAAAACTCATCCCATTAGAAGTTTATTTTTCTTGTTACTATGGTGTGAGAAAAACTGTAGCCAGCAAGTGAAAACCAGAGTTTCTGATCACACTTCCTGATGTGATAGACCTTTTTATTTTTTCTTTGAAAGCAGATACAAGAAATGCTTTGAAAGGGCTCACAATGTTGCTGTCACTGGCTCCCGTGGTCATTCTGAAGTGGATCTCTGGGCGGCAAGGATGCATCCAGCACAGGCCTGGCCACCAGTGAAGGGGCTTCCAGTCTTGGTGGAAGGGGAAGGGAGCCCGCTTCCCCACCTGAGCCAGCTCGGGGCCAGTGTGCTGGGTCAGAGCTGACGGATGTGCCCCGGGATGGGCCAGCCGAGGCTCCTGTCACCTCCTGGGGGGGTAGTGGCAGAAGCCAGTGCAGTGAGGGGCGGGACAGGGCTTGAAAACAGTCCTGGGGAGGTTTCCAGAATGCTTCCTTTGACTCTCAGGACTGAATGGAAGCCACAGGCTCCAGAGGTCAAAGCTGCCGAGCTCCTCCGTCCCTTCCTTCCTCTCCCTCCCACCTCTCTCTCCCCCTTCCATCCTTCCTTCCTTTGCACAGGGTGTTGAGCTTGGTCTGGGGAGTAAACACTGACGTTTGGAAAGGAACTGTTCCCTGACTTTAACCGTATCTCTGCAGCCTAGAGTGTGACTTGATACCCACCTTTTCCTGACAGGTAACTGAGGGCCTATAGAGGATGTCTTTGCTCGTCTCCTTTCCTGAATTTATACCCCCTGCTTCCTTCCCCTAGGTGTTTTACCCTGATGTCATAGACTTATTTTTGTTGTTCAGTCACTAACTTGTATCCAACTCTCTGCAACCCCATGGACTGCAGCATGCCAGGCTTCCCTGTCCTTTGCTATTTCCCAGAGTTTGTTCAGATTCATGTCCATTGAGTAAATGATGCTATCTGACTATCTCATCCTATGCAACCCTCTTCTCCTTGCCTTCAGTCTTTCCCACCATCAGGATCTTTTCCAGTGAGTCGGCTCTTTGCATCAGGTGGCCAAAGTATTGGAGCTTCAGCTTCAGCATCAGTCCTTCCAATGAATATTCAAGGTTGACTTCCTTTAGGACTGACTGGTTTGATCTCCCTATTGTCCAAGGGACTCCCAAGAGTCCTCTCCAGCTTATGGGTCTTTATGCTTGTCGGTCTCTTATTAACTGATCAAGTGTAGTTCTCTGCAAGGAAAATATCCATACATTGACTTTAAAATCCTGTGACCTCAAGCTACTAAGTATTAAAAGAAAAAAAAAAATCCTTTTTGGATTGAGAAAGCCCTGCGATCAGGCAGTATAAGTACATTGCAGGTTTTTAGAAATGGAAAATGTTCCTGGAAATGCCTCTCTTAGCGATC